TGATTTCTAAAGGTGTAATCATGTTTTATTGTGTGAAAAAGGCACAGAATAGACTGTGGTGATTTGCCTAACCTGGGTTCAATTTTTTCTTCTCATTGAACTTTTCAGTCTAAATGTTAAATTATGGTATATTTATAACTCTTGGTTCAGACAGACTCATTTTTTCTAGTTTTAGATCAAAAATCAGGAATTAAACACATCTTTTTTGACCCAAAGGTGCTTTTTCACAAGGCAACTGGTCTTTGTTTTTCTTTGAAGATGTTTTGCTTCTCATCCAAGAAGCATTTTTGAATTTCTTCTTGTAGTACATGAGATCTGAATTTGGATATTCATTTGGATAAGGCTAAGTATTCTTTTTTCAACCAGTAATTTGTAATGTAACCTTAATATGTACGCATCTGAACTCTTCTATTCAGGGTTCAGACCTAGTCATAGAATATAAATTACATTTATTGCTTTGGTGGCACTCTTCTTGTTCTTGCTTGATCTCTTAGCATGCTTGATACCATTTATCATGATATCCTATTGGAATGACTGCAAAGGTTGGCAGCAACACTAACTTTAACTAATATCAGAGTAGTACTGTACTTGTGCAAGGTCTGGCACAATTCTTCCATTTTGAAACATGCAGTGCCCTATTCATGGTAGAAGGTCACATAGTTTCCATCATCTATAGCTAATCTAGGATATCATCCAAATTAATTTGATTGTCATAGGTTTAAATAATCATAGTAATCAGTTTTAGGTATGAATTGCTTTTATCTTATATTGAGAGGATACTGATTAAGCAGGCAGATAATTTATGGCAAGATTGTGAATGTGACTCTCCTGGTGTTGTTTCATATTACTTCCATGCCCCTTCCATATATATATCTACCCTTTGGACTACTTCTAAGGCTGGCTTAAAGGTTATCAACACTGTAGGAGATGACCAGTGTAATCCTGAGGAAAGAGTTGCACCATCAGTCTTGAGTCTCTTTGTGCCCACAGGAGATCTTAGTCCAGCCCACCTTGAATTCCATTATCTCTAATCTACTGTCAATTTGCTTTGACTGTTAGTAGTTCAGATTCTTGTAGAGAGCTTACGCTTCTAATAAGCCTATATATTTATTTGAATTGCCTGGAGTCCTGATTTCCTGTGCTTGACAAACACATGCATCAACACAAGATCTGGACACAGATGTGACTCAACTCTAAACTTTAATTCCTCATTGAACAGATAATATGAATGTATTGACTTAGAGACTGGATGGGGAAGAAAAAGCTTAGGTTCTATCCCAACTAGGTGGAATGGCTGCATGTTCAGGAAGCATCCAGTTTCAGGGAGAGACCATCCTTAATTCTGGATCATACTGCCATATATAAAATGGGCTCTTAACTTGGGAGAGGGGGCTTATTCATCTTTCATTTAGATCATTGCATAGATCAATATAATCTGCATGGAGTGCCTTTGAAAAGCATTTAGAAGACACAGCTGATCCAGAATGCAATAACTCAAGTGGTTATGGATGCTATCTAATTTATTCATAGAACACAGCTACTTTGAAATTTTCATTGGTTGAAAGTTAACTTATGGGTGATCATTTTAAAAGCCCTTCATCCCTCAAGATGTAGGCATCTGTGGGACCACTTATCCCCAATACTATCTGCCATTCTAATAAGACGTGGTAAACAGCCTCCCTTCATGCTCTAGGATTATTATCTGCGTGAGTCAGGGAAATAATCCTTCTCCATCAGTGTGCCCCCCCTCCACCTCCGTGGAACATAATTCACCCAGAAGTGCAGATTGTTCCTCTTTGTTTTCAGAAAGGTGATTCAGCTTGGCTATTACAGGAGGCATCAGAAATTTGGTTGTCATAAAACTTTTCCTCTGATATATAATTTTATAATTAAATGAAGCTCCTTGTGTTTATGTTTACTTATGTTGATTTTTTTAAAATATACATTTATGTTTTTAACCTTATTTACAATGTTAGGATGTATGCCATGCAGAGTTAGAATGGTTTATAAAACCATGAATAAATAAAATTATTATTTGAAGATTTATTATTGCTGCTGCTGTTATTACAAGAAAAGACTGTCATGATCTAGCAAGAAGTATACAGTATTATAGTAATTTTGTAGTGATTGGCAAGCCAATTCAATCCGAAAACATTTCTACAAGGCAGCCATCTCAAATAAAATTGTCTTGTTAAGTTGGCAAGTCACCAATTAAATGTGCTCGGAAAGGAAACTTTTTCCATTTCTGTTTAAAGACGCTGACTAAATTAACTGCAGCTCTCCTGCTATGCTTCAACTGTAGAACAAAGACTTCCAGGGTAATATGAGCTTGGAAGAGTCTGTTAATGGAAGCTTTAACTCTCATTTTCTGACTGACACTTTGCTCTGTAGAGGTGCAAGGGGAATATCCAGAAAGCTTGCTTTACTTGTTGAACATTTGTTACCTGTAAAGTATTTCCTGGTATATGTCTTTAATTTCATGGGTACCTGTTGTCTCTAATCTGACTTTCTGAATATGATCAGGAAAATTCCTGTGCAGCTCAGAACTTGAAGCATATACCAATTGAGTATAGTAGTCAAAAGTTTAAAGTCTGCAAGTGAAAAATATACAACATGCACCCTATTAAAACAAGCTGTGTAGGAATGCTATGGGTGAGTTCCTTTAAAGCAATATTTTCAGAAAGGTTGATGGAATATAAAAATGCATGCCATAGTAATTTAGATTGATATGGCTAGAGAATCAAGGGCTAGTAAGGTCCCATGTCTTTCCAGAAAGTGAGAATTTGGATTGAGCACCATTTAAATGGAAGATCACTGAATAATAATAATAATAATAATAATAATAATAATAATAATAATAATAATAATAATAATAATAATAATAATAATAATAATAATGTTGGAAGGGACCTTGGAGGTCATCGAGTCCAACCCCCTACTCAGGCGGGAACCCTGATTAAACAATTAATCAGTGGAACAACCTGCCTCCAGAAGCGGTGAATGCTCCAACACTGGAAGTTTTTAAGAAGAGACTGGACAGCCATTTGTCCGAAATGGTATAGGGTTACCTGCCTGAGCAGGGGGTTGGAATAGCTGACCTCCAAGGTCCCTTCCAATTTATTTATTATTATTATTATTATTATTATTATTATTATTATTATTATTATTATTATTATTATTATTACTATTATTATCAGTAGTAGTAGTAGTAGTAGTAGTGGTAGTAGTAGTAGTAGGATTATTTGATGAACATAATAACAAAACTAGGATAAGTCACACTTCTCAAGAAATCAATGATTCAGCCAATACTCGACTATCTCCAATTTTGTATGACTTATATGGAGGGAGTACATCTTTAAAAATCATGCTTAATATTTCAGTGACATTCAATACTGTTGATCATTATATACCCATGAGGGTTGCAGATTGGAGGTATTGTTTTTCAGTTATTTTGCTTCTTGAGTACATAAAGGGTGATCCAATCAGTCTTAATGACAGTGGAAAGATCAGGCCCTTGGCTACGACATTATGAGCCTCAGTGCTCAGTTTTCCCACCTTCTTTTTCAATATCTACATAAATCTACTGGGAAAGGTTTTTTTTTAAAATTCAGAGTGAAGTATAATCACCTCTGCTGAGCAGGAAATGCAGTAGAAGTCCTGATCCAGTCCTTGGAATCCATGAATGGGACTGGATGGGATGGAACAGGTTGTGAATAAATCCTAGCACGAGAGAGCTCTTTATTTGGAAGCTCCCTGGATCCAGAACTGCAACACCCCTGATTCTAGTTATCTTAGTCATGTCTCTCTGAAGAAGCAGCTGTGCAACTTTGGGATCTTCCTGAACTTATGACTTTTGCAAGCCTTTGTCCAGCATGCAATCTACATGAAAAGGTTCTGACAAGAGTTATCAATGTTCTTATTTTCTTGAAGGTGAATTATTTTAATTTGCTTTATATGGTGTGCCTTTATAAAAGGCAGCTGCCGACAGGCTGAATAGCCAACACTGATATAGCAGAGAAACATTAATATTGTGGGAGGTGCATTGATTGCCAATTGCACTTCAAGGTTCTACTCATTGCCTATAAAGTGCTTTAAGCTTGGATCCTTATTAGTGTGGGGACCCAAGTTAAATCTACTTGCCCAGCACATGCTGGCTGAGGATACACTAAGAATGCCTCCATCACGACATTAAAGGAATGGTATTTGGAAAAAAGCTTTCTCCTTAGCAGTCCCTTTATGCCAGTTCCTGAAGTAAGGATGGTCCCTAATCTTGGAAGGTGATGAAAACTGCAGGCATTTTGGAATTTGATATAAAATAGTCCTTTTCTAACCAATATTTGGGGGTAAAGATGTCACTTAATTGGATCTCTAACTGGAGGTAATTGTCTAGAATGCATGGAGTTACATAGTGTATGATTTACAATATTCATTTTGTTATTTTTATGATTTTATGGATAGTGCTATATAATTAATAGAGCAGGTGGCATACAAATGTAGCATGACATGAATAAATAAAATTAACTGGTGGAAATATTTATTAATTAAAATGGGGAGAAATTTCTTATGTAAATATTAATGCACGCATGCATGATTTCAATTTATGTTTCTGTTGTGTGATTCATACCGAGCATGTTTTTTATATTCTTCCCGTTCAGAAATGTGTGCAACTATACCTGCAGCCAAATAAAATAACATCAAATCTGCTTGCTTTGTAAGCACCAACCCTTCAAGGTGCAAGCAAACAAAATATGTGATTAACTTAAAATATAAAGTTATTTTATATAACATGCAGAAAGTGCAACAGGCGCACATTGCGGATACCATAGCCAAGAAACATGGCATGGACAGTAATTCAGTATGCGTGTGGCAAGACATTTTGCACTTCCCAGGTGGCATTTTTAAAATCATGTGAGATGGGAGGATCAGTGCTGACAGTTCTTCTCAGCCAAGTCATTATGACCATCTGCTCTCACTTTTACTGAGCCAAGAGCTTCTATAAAGAGAAGGCATGCCACAGGATGGTTGGCCTCTTTTGCAGTAATAGGATCTCTGGAACCTTGAGAATGGAGCTGACTCTGTATTTCCTACGGCAAAGTTTTGTACGTTTTAACTTCAGTTCTTGGTCAAAGCATAGAGTAAAAAGCAACACAAACCCCTTAACTAGGGTAGCTGAAGAATGGGCAAGATCTTTCAATCTCTATGTGAAACCACCATCAACATTGATTCCACAAAGGAACAAGTCCATACAGGTTTGTGTGAGGATCATTTATAAGCTGATACCATTTATGCTAGTGTCACCAACTGCTAATGTTACTCAGCTCTTGATATACAGTAAAGTTTTGCACAGTTCCATATTTGCAGAAAGACTAGGAATAGATTTTTTAGGAAACTCATATTTTAATATGTTAACATTCAACAAACAAAATATATATTTAACAAGTATGCAAAAACTGCATCTGTGCCTGATGATAAGAACAAAGTTGTCATTAACATTCCCCCATGTACAAAAGGAAAGTTAGTAAGCGCAAATGCAAAAATCTCTCATGGTATTAATTTGTTCAGTGTATCCAGGAAGATGAGTATCACACTTTTCCTTTGTGAGGGTATAAAAAGTGACAGTGAGCAATATTTCAGATTTTATACCAGTCAGAGAGTGTTGCATACCAGAATTTTGTTCTTCAACACATCACTGAGTATACAGTACTAATGTTAGAAAGTTTATTCCATGTTTGTTGATTTAGATGAACTCAAGTGAACAACCTAAAAATATTGAATGCTTGGCATGAATATGAATTCTGGTTGTTGAATGTGATGGATACAAAATAGGCTTGAATAAAACATGCATGTAATTAAATGGAATGCTTGGTGAATGGTTTGTTGTTGAGCAAGGAGTAAGACAAAGAGGTGTGCTGCCCCATTGCTTACTGAGTGTACAAGGAATGCTTGTGATGATGCTAGATATATGTTAGCTGGGATGTAAAAATATGCATATTTTTGTATGGGGATGTTATTATGTGATTGGTTGACAACCTGAACAGTTTGTGGATCAGATAGTGTGATACAATGAGAAGTTTGGACATCAAAATTGGTATGTCAAAGATCAAGTTAATTGCAGTCGACACAGAAACAGATTATGATTGCAAGTTAAAAGAAATTGTAAAAATATTAGAGAAGGAGATGAATGCGAGTACTAAAGATGAAAAAAGGATAGATAAATTTTAAGGTTGAGTAAATACTGTGCAAAAGATAATAGATATTTAGCATTCAATTGCAAGAAATGAATGTTTGTTAAAAGAAGCAAACATGGGTGTGCGTAACATGATGCTTTGCCCACTTAATTATAAGACGAGAAACGTAAAAGAAAGTTGAATAAAAGTGTGAATGGGATACTAATGGGATACTAATGGGATACTAATGGGATACTAATGGGATACTAATGGGATACCATACCTTAAAAAAAAAGGTATGGTCAAAAATGATTGAATAGCTGAGGAATAAACTGAATGCAAAAGTGAATAATATGGAGGTACAAAACAAGTGTGTCAAATTGTTTTGGTCATAAAGAAAGAATGAGGATTCATTTATAGGTAGATTGAAGAAGTTTAGAGGAAAGGAAAGAATGAGAAAGTTGTAATTGGATAGAGAACTGATAAAAATCTTCAAAAAGAGAGAGGTGAAAACTTTAAAGCGCAAAAGCCTATGAAATGGTGGGTGGATAGATTAGAAGCATGGATGATTTGCAAAGACAAAAAGGTGTGGAGGAGTTTCAGGAATGGTACTGGTGAAAAAATAGATTTAACTATATTTTCCTTGCTTTTTCTTGTTATGCCTTTAACCTTTGTTGCTTACTTATTGCTTTTCCTTGCTTTGCAGAGCTGCTGACTCCGAAAGGAAATTGCATAATGGGAATGAAGATATGTTGAGTGTCAAGATAATTTATTTATAGGTGAAATGTCATCATTAAAATAGACAGGATATGCTTGCATATGCTGGCAGCCTATACTGTCTTTCAGGGTAGGGAAATGCAATATGATTCTCCAAATATATTGATTTTCCATCAGTAATACATACCATGTGTGACTTTGTATTAAGAAAAAGGGATGCCATTCATACAATCCTGGTATTTAATATTCCCTGTGTTCCCCTGACCCCAAAAGATTTCCTGAGATTTAGGAAACCCTTGGAAACAGAATGAAACAGACATTGGACAGCTGCCATATCTGTAAGGGGATATCAGTACATGTGTCTATTTAAGTAAACAGGAAGGTTTTCTGCAAAGTTTTTTTAAAAAAATAAAAAACCCATCAGTGCAACAACGAAGCAAACAAGGTAATTTTCTTGGATCAAGTGACTGACCTCAGAAGGATGGAAGACTGAGTCAACCTTGAGCCTATCAAGACCGAACTTCAGGCTGAGGGCAGAGTTACATTCTAACAACTGTGCCACCAGGGCTCCTAAAAGTTGGTTAGAAGCTGCAAACTGTTGAAACCACACAAATAATCTTTGGGTGCCACAGCAGAAAAAGCTTTCCTCCTGAGTCCTATCAAATGATATTCCTTCATGGATGGGATCTGCAACATGCCTTTTTTTGCCAGACCTGATGGGACAGGTAAATGTTAGATGTACTTGGAGATAGGCAGTCTCTCAGCAGTGCAATTGGCTCTTAAAATACTGCCTTACTTTTCTCAGCTATCTTAAGATAGCTACTTTTCCCCCCTTTATCTTAAAGGAATGTATTTTCAATGAAAAACAAGTGGGAAGATATATGGAATTATTATGAAAATCCACAGAGCCATGAAAACAAACAAGTTAGATTCAGAGAATAATAGATACATCTGACTGTGTGATTTCTTTCTCTGTAGCATTTTCAATACCCCATATAGGAATACTTTCTCTTGTTTAGGTAATTATTTTTAATTCAATACCTTGATGTTCTGTTTTGGAGCAGATTGTAGTGAATTCAGATAGTCTTCAGCCCAGCAGCACCTGAAACCATTCCACATTCGGCACAACAGGACCTGGTATCTAGCCACGTCTGCTTGCCTTTTAGAGGGCTCGAATTACCGGCATGGCAAAACAGTTTTCAGAACTACAATAAACCAAATTTCTTTATTCTTTGATTAACTTGCATGTACAAAAATACTTATATAATGAGCCCACCAGAGTCTCATCCTCACCTTACACTCCGCTGTTAAAATATCCACAATAGTCTGATCTTTTCTCAACATATCTAAAGTCATAGTATTTAAAAGCATCCTGCACTTTTCATTTGAGCTTCATTACATTTCCAATGAATTTTTATGCAAAGTCTTACTTTCTAAATTGCAAGGCTGTGAATCCCTATATGACTTATCATATTTTATTTCATTTCCTTTGCAAGTTTGTTCTCACTGAATAAAGGATCAAGTAATTCAGTGGATTCTCTTACGGGCCACAAGCAGTTTTAATAAGCTTATGCTTACTAAAATTCATTTCCTCTGATACAATAAATAATGGCAAAGCATCAAGCCTTTTCAAGCAAATGAATAATTGAGGGAAACACAGTTTTTAGGGCATTGTCACAAAAGTTGTATGGCAAGTTGAAATGGTAAAATTGGATTTTTGTTTATGTCTTTTGAGAGCTCCCTAGATAGGGTTTATATGTCTGTTGATTGCAGCTTGGTTGGAGTATTGTGTACTAAGAATTGAAAAATTCTGTGCTGTCAGAAATAGGGAAATGTCTATTAAGTATTACCATACCTTAAGTGGTCTCTCGTCTGGCTGTATAGTCTTCTCAAGAGAATTACTGTTAGCTCCTTCTCCAGAAATAGCATTTGCAAAATCTTTTCATTACAAACACTGGAACTGACCTCATGGTTCTTGACTTTATCGTACAGTTTCTTCCAGTTATTATTCTCATCCCTATGGCAGAATTTGAAATTAAACAGAGATTGATTTTTGGTAATTTCTAAAAACAGACAGCATGACAAGTAAAACAGGCAGCATGCCTTGGGCTCAAAATGAGCCAGTCCTTTTCAAACTGTCGCAATTAGGCAAAGTCTTGGAAAAAACAGATGTAGGAACTGAATGTTTGGAGAAAAACTTACAGAGTTGAGTTGAGGTGATGTGCCCCAAAATAACTGGGTCAACAGATATCAGGTATCTTAAAGAAACATATTCAAGATCTAAAGTGTTTTCTTCACCTGAAGTTCTTGAGCCACCATACCTGATTCATATTCACAATTTTTGTTGCATTCTCAGCTAATTTCCTTTGAGATGTTGTCACAAACTCTTATCCTCTTGTCCTCCGCACTATCACCATCACCATGCTTGTCCCACTTTCTCTATTAAGCATACTCAACCAGAGTTTGCTTCCCTTTTCAGAAAAAAATATTTTATCTCTCTTCTTTTCTCTGCCCAAGACTGATACATTTACTTTATTTTCTTCTCCAAAATAATGGAACATTTCTGAATTATGAAGAAGGCTACCTACTTTCTTTAGCATATAAGAGCAGGGAAGCAGGTTGCAGAACATTCAACTGTGTAACTGACATAATTCAATCCAAACTTGGAGGCAATGTCAGTTAAGATACCATAGAGGGGCCATGGTAGCAAAAACATCTCTTTTGGAATGGAGCTTAGCTGTTCATACTCATTTGTATTTCCCTTTGCTTCTTTGATGAGTAGCTCCTTTTCCAAAGACTTTTATCATGTAGCTCTGCAACTTTGTCTCCCTCAAGGTCACTCCTACTTCAGATCCCTCTGGAACCTTCCCAGTTATAAAGTCCCCTTTGGTTTACCCAGCCCCTATTTTCCATGTTTCTGTGGGTTCAGAAACTAATATTGGGTCAAGGTCAGTCCTATTCTTGCTATGAGCCCAGATTGAATTAGAGCATGGCTTTTCAACCTTCTCACCCATTGTACCACTTTTAGGATATGGCAACATCCGAGTACCACCAGTTGCCTAGCAAGGTGTCAAAAACTTGATGACCCCCCCCCAAAAAAGGAAAAAAGTGATAAAGTACGGGTAGTCCTCGACTTACAACAGTTTGTTTAGTGACTGTTCGAAGTTACAATGGCACTGAAAAAAGTGTCCCCCAAGCCACAGCCGAGCAAGACACCTGCCTGCCCGCCCGGCGGCGCTCTTCCTCCTGTCCGAGGTTTTCATTGTTGTGAGCATTTCTGTTAAGGATTGGCAGCGGGGGTGGGGTGGGGGGTGTTTGGTTTTTATTCCCCCCATCTGCTGGGTGGTTACAGCAGGTTTTGGTCCCTTTACATGACCCTGGGACACTGTGACCATCATAAATATGAATCAGTTGCCAAGCATCTGAATGTAAATCACAAGACCCTGGAGATAAGGCAACATTCCAGCTGATCGGCGCTTCTTCTGGGCTCAGCAGAAGCGCCAGGATCAGCGCCGAGCTCCAGCTGGAAAGCGGCACTGATGCTGGCGCTTCCACTGAGCCCTGACAGCCCTGCAGCTCCAGCCTTCTCTCGCTCAGTCTTGTGCGGTGCTGTCACCATTTCAGCTCATTCCCCTCCCCCACTACCACTTTTCTAGGATGGTTGCGTACCACCTGCCAGGTTTCAATGTACCACATGTGGTACCCGTACCACTGATTGAAAAGTCCTGAATTAGAGCTCAGACTCAGCAAGTAAAATAGAGAACAGAGTGAAGATACTTAATGAGAGTTCTTGCTACATAAAGGAGTAATGTCTTAATTAAAGATAGCTGGCTACAACCTGACCCATGTTTCTCCATTGGAAATAACTGTCTGATTTCCTGCTCTGTTGCTCCTGTGTATTCTGCTTGAATAAAAAAACTTGAAACTCCAATCTTTGGACTGGTTGACAAACCAGGCTTGGCTCACTGAACTTTGGGCTGGATTTTAACTTCTCTTTTATGTGTTCCCACTGAAAACATGATTAACCCAGGGACTCTTCCAAGAGAGTCTGTTTTGATTTGCATTCCCTTCCTCATCTGCCATTTATTTACTCATCTTTGAGTAAATTACTCTTATCATCTAGAAAACTGTGCAATGTGTATGAGTTTGAAATCTGAACTAGGAGTTTATTTCCATTCTCACCCCCATTTTCCTGCACAAGAAGTAAGAGAAACTTGGAAAGTACAGTGGAGCAATTTACACTTGAAAACACTCAACTAATCAAGAGATAGAAGTGTTTTAACGGTTGCAATATTTCATGTTTCTTATCCAACCTATTTGCTGAAGTGATCATGAGGAAGCTGAAACTTGACTCAAAAATTGGAGATTGGGGGAAGGAACATCAACAATCTTGAATCTGCTGATGACACAATTCTCATCTCAGAGACCAAAGAAGGCCTAAAACATTTGATCGAAAGGATAAAAGAAGAAAGTGAGAAATTTGGTTTCTTCCAGAATGTCAAAAAGGCCAAGCTTGTGATCACTGTGAGAAATAGAAGTGTTATAATGACAATTGATGGTGAAGAGATCAAATGTGTGCAAAAAGTTACTAATGTAGGATTGCAAATTGATCAAAGCAGTGAATGCAGTCCAGAAATGAAGTGTCAAATTGCACTGGGTCACACTGCAATTATTAGCATGAATCAAATATGGTAAAGCAAAGAGATCAGTCTGGCATCTAAATATAGATTAGTTTGTACTATCATGTCTTCCTACAGCTACCTACAGCTATGAAAGCTGGACCATGAAAAAGCTAGACAGGAGGAAAATTGACTTGTTCAAGCTGTGGTGTTGGAGAAGGTTCCTGAGGATTCCTTGGATAGCAAAGGTAACAAACAAGTACAGGAGCATATAAAACCAGACATATCACTGGAAGGCAAAATCACAAAATTCTGCCAATACTTCTTTTGGCCATATCATGTGATCAAACTCACTGGAAAAGGCAGTTATGCAGCATCAATGAAAGGAAAGAAGACTGCCAAAATACACAGTGGATAGACATCATAGACATCAGCCAGAAAATAAACAACTGAAAGAAGCTGTACAACATCAGACAATAATATTGTATAGCTTCTTCCTGGTCTATAGACTTTCTGAGAATTGGACACAATTGAAAGCACTCAACTAGGCCTGCTAATACT